GCTAAACTCTGCAGGACACCGGCCCTCCAGGATCGAGTTTGGGCAACCCTGGTTTATGCATTTTAATTTTAGTGTCATGTTAGTACAAGAAGTTGAACTAAATGGATGGATGATGTAAACAACAAAAATGCATGCTGTTGGGTGCATCATTTATTGAAACGAATCTTAACTGATGTACGATATACACTGAAACAAAATTGGTGTAGGATTTACTTTAAAACAGGGTTATTATAGTTAACTTTATGTTAGTACATCAAAATTAAAACTAAAACCTTAAACATTTTTGTTACTTGAAATAAAATGAACATTAACTGGAATAAAATATAATATAAAAAACTTTTTTGGTTTGAACCAAACTATTTTTACATGTATGTTAATGTAGTTTAACTTGATTTAATACAATTACTAAAACTGAAATAAAAATTAATAAAAAACATATATCCATATTGAATAAAAACGAAACATACTAAAAATGACAAAAACACAAAATTACTAAATCTTTCAAATTAAAACAGAAATAAAAATATTCAAAATTCACAATATTAATTAAATAATATAAATTAAAATTAATTAAATATTAATCAAAAATTTAACTTAATAAATTAAATATCAGTGGTACTAAAATAACACTGCTTTGTAACAGTTTTCACTCAAAAATGGAAAAACTCTTTGAAAAGTACAGGGAAAGTCTCTGGCCTGACTTTGAAAAACACAAAGGACGATGTTTAGCAGAATCTTCAAAGCCTCAAAAACCATACAAAACGTTTCAAGCTCCAAAAAGCAGGAGATTTATGTTATTATTCACTGGAAATGTTGCACGATAGGAAAGTTTCGCAACTCTCTTCAGTTTATGAGTCAGTCTTTTTCAGGTTTTGAACTTTCATATCTTCACCACTATGCTATCATATGCAGACACAGATTTCATCTCTCTGTGACCCAGAGTCATGCGTTCCTGATCCCGTCATCGTTTTCCTGGTCAGCGTAGGATGCGCTGTGCGCGGAAACTG